ATAATCTTCTATAAGAAGTATAAAAAACTGGATTAGAAATGCTATAAAACAAACAACAACAACAAAAAGCAAAAGACAACCAAAAGAACTAAAAATGTTTGATTTTCTAGATCTTTCTTTTCCCAAGCAGGTAACCTATTTTCTTCTGGGTAGGCAGTTTCCTGCTATCTAACATCAGTCAAGAGCTCTCTCAATCAGCAAGTGTCAGAATGAAAATAAATAGGTATAACCTCTTTCACTGGAGACTTTTTTGGGAGTCTTTTCATGGGCAACTTTTGGTTTGGTTTGTCGCTTTACCAAGAGCTAAGATATAGATAAGTATTCTTAGTGTTTCTCTGTCTGGGAGATTTTTCTAGTTCAGGAATGGCACTCTTTGGGGGTCCGGCTTTGTGTACTATCTCTGCTCTGACATTCTATCTCGTGTGGTGCTGGGCTTAACCTTTGCCACCAGGGGCATAGCGTCTTAAAACTCAATGTCAAGCCCACCATGGATGGCAAATGCCTGTGGAACAAACAACAACTCTGGTCTTTTCTTATGTCATTTGGAGGAGTTTAACGGCTTCCTTTTCTTTCCCTTTGTCTTAGCCATACAAGCTATTATGTAAGAAGGATTTCATTATATAAAAGGGGTTTCTCCAGATACCTTGGCTGCCATATGCCCACATATGATTTCCTACTAATGGCTTCTTCTCTTTTTGTTGTTCCTACTGTAGTCTCTCTCTCTGTCTTTCCCTCAGCCCTTCCAATCCAGCGCTCCTACAACCAGTTCCTGTATAAAATCCTCTCTGTTTGAAATACTTGATTTCTCTTTTCCTGACTGGACATGATCCCTCCGTGTCTCTGGCACAGATACCATCCCTGAGTCTGACTTAGCTCCTCAGCCCTGACCTTCCATCTTCCTACTCAGCTAAGAGAGAGCTAATGAAATGAAAGAAAAGCTATCATAGGAAATCCTATGTGGGCAATATAGCAGCTGAGAAACTGGGGGTGCAAAGGGGGTTGTGGGAAAGAAAATACAAAGCTTAAATGAACCTAAGTAAATTGTAACCATCAATCAATGCAATTGCATAAATTAATGTACAGAAAAGAAAAGGAGTTTGGGAGTCAGCATTGGATTCAAATTTTCTCTGCCACTTGCAGGTAGGGTTACCTTAAGCAAGATATTTTCCTTATGTTTAACCAGTTGAATTGTGTCTCCCAAAAGGTATGTAGAAGACCTAATCCCCAGTATCTCAGAATGTGGCCTTATTTGGAAACAGGATCATTGAGATATTAATTAAGTAGATAAGGTCTTACTAGGGTAGGGTGGATCCGTAATTCAACATGACTGGTGTTCTTATGAGGAGACACAAACACCAAGACACACAGAGAGAAGAACGCCACAGGTGGCAGAGGCAGAGACGGAATTGACGCAGCTGCAAACCAAAAAGTGTCGAGGGTCAACAGCAACCACCGGGAGCCAGGAAGAGGCAAGGACGGGTTCCATCTAGAGTCAGCGAGAGCACGGCCCTGCTGGCACCTTGATTTCTGGCTTCCAACCTCCAGAACTATGACAGATACGTTTCTGTTGTTTCAAGCCATCCGGTTTTGGTGCTTTGCTGTGTCAGCCCTAGCAAACTAGTGCACTATCTGAGTCTCAGTTTCCTCATCTGTGAAGGTGGGAGAGTGATACTTTACAGTAATGGTCCCCAACCTTTTTGGCACCAGGGACTAGTTTCGTGGAGACAATTTTTCCACAGACAGGGGCCGGGGGGAAGGGGGATGGTTTCAGGATGATTCAAGCGCATTGCATTTACTGTGCACTTTATTTATATTATGATTACATTGTAATATATAATGGAATAATTATACAATTCATGATAATGTAGAACCAATGGGAGCCCTGAGCCTGTTTTCCTGCAACTAGACAGACCCATCCGGGGGTGATGGAGACAGTGACAGATCATCAAGCATTGGATTCTTCTAAGGAGCCGCAACCTAGATCCCTCCCATGTGCAGTTCACAACAGGGTTGGACGTCCTATGAGAATCTAATGCCGCCGCTGATCTGACAGGAGGTGGAGCTCAGGGGGTCCTGTGAGCGATGGGGAGCAGCTGTAAATGCAGAGGAAGCTTTGTATGCCCGCCTGCTGCTCACCTCCTGCCGCAGGGCCCGGTTCCTAACAGGCCTCGGTACTGTCTGTGGCCTCTTAGGAACTGGACCACACAGGGTTTCATAGGGTTGTGAAAGGGTTTGCAGCATTGTTTCGAAGATTTAAATAAGGACATGTGTGGCGAGCATGTCCTCACGTGTCCTCAATACGCAGTCACTGCTGGCGATGTTCTAAAATGCTGAGGGGGCTGGCTCTCCACAGGACGCCATTCCTGTCAACAGTGCTTGCCTCCCTACACACACACACGCATGCAAACACACACTACACACCACACCACACACACCACACCCACTCACACAATACATACCATGCACAGAAATACATACACTACACACCACACACACACATCACAGACACTCACCCAATACATACCATGTGCAGAAATATACACACTACACACCACACACACACCACACCCACACTCACACTACACACCACACACACCACACCACCCACCACACTCACACAATACATACCATGTGCAGAAATACACACACTACACACCACACACACCACACACACACTACACACCACACACACACTACATACATCACACACCACACCCACCACACCCACTCACACTACACACCACACACACCACACCACACACCACACTCACACAATACATACCATGTGCAGAAATACACACACTACACACTACACACACACCACACAAACACTACACACCACACACACCACACCCACACTACACACATCACACACACCACACCCACCACACCCACTCACACTACACACCACACACACCACACCACACACCACACTCACACAATACATACCATGCGCAGCAATACACACACTACACACCACACACACCACACCCACTCACACTACACACCACACCACACACCACACTCACACAATACATACCATGCGCAGAAATACACACACTACACACCACACCACACTCGGACACCACACCCACTCACACTACACACCACACACACACCACACACACCACACCACACACACCACACTCACACACTACATACCACACACAAATACACATACTACACATCACACCACACACACACTACACACCACATCACATACACAACACTCACACACTACACACCACACACACCACACCCATTCACACACTACATACCACACCACACTCACACACACGACACACCACACCACACACACCACACCCACTCACACACACTACACATCACACACACACACCACACCCACTCACATACTACATACCACACCCACAAATACACTACACACGACACCACACTCACACACAACACCCACACATTACACACCGCACACACAAATGCAAACACTACACACCACACAATGCTGTCACACCACACACCACACCACACATACCACATCCACTCACACACTACATACCACACACACAAATACACACACTACACACACCACACACACACTCTTCCTACACACCACACCACACTCATACACACACCACACACACACTACACACACACCACACTCACACACTACACACCACACTCACACCATACCACACTCACACACACTACAAACCATGCCACACACATCCTACACCACACACACACAAACACAATATGCACCATACACACAAATACATAAACACACCATACCACATGCACATACACCCCACACAAACCACACTATGCACCACACCACATAGACCATACCAGACACACACAAATACACCAAACTACACACACACCACACAAAGACACAAAGACACACCACATACACACCACATATATCACACACACAACATACACCACACAACACACCATGCATATCACACTACCATACACACACACACGCGCGCACACACACACACCGTAGCCTCTGCTCTGTGCGTAGCCCTGTATGTGTGTCAGCAAACTCTGATGTGCTTTTGTCTGTTTCAAGACTTCCAGAATGTTCATTTCAGCCAGGCTTGGCCTGTGTAGAGGTCTGGCCAGAGGGGAAGGGGTCTAAATCCAGTCATGGCCCTGGACAGCGACCTCTGGAGAGCACCCACTCCTAGCTGGGCCCTGCCCAACTGAAACTACTCCCTGTGGCATTCACACCTGTGGCCTTAACTCAAAAGCACAAGGAGATGCCAGCTATAAAAAAGTTGAAAGCAAAATGCATTTGTTTCACACTTGCCAAGGTGTTTGCCAATGATAGATTAAAATGGCCATAACTTCTGGTGCTTCAATGTGCTCCACCTTAAAAAAAAAATCAATTGCTGGTGACAACCCAACTTCAGATGGAGGGAGACGAGCAGGCTTGGTTTGATTTGGTTTGGTTGAGTCTGAATCCACGTGGGAAGCCCAGGGAGAGGGCAGCCCGCAGCCCCAGTTCCTCCTCAGGCACAGGCAGCCTGCGTGTCATTCTCACTAGCACTTAGGAACACTTGAAAATAATTTTCAAAGGAAGTAGGTAACTCTCCAAAATGTCCACAGAGTGCAAATGAGAAACAGTCTTGCGGCTTCGCACACATGTGCCGGGAGAGCCCATGGCTAAAGAGAGAACACGCATGTGCCCATCTTTGACGTCGCCTGGTTTCTGGCTACCAGCTGCTCAGAGCTTAAATTGGAGCTGTCACAGACCAGAGATGCTGCCTGCAAATATAACATGTGCTTGGGACTCCTCAGCAGCACCAGCTTCTCCTCCCGTCCCTGTGGCCGAACAAATCTGTGCTCCTGAAGAAAAGCAGAGCTCTGGAACTGACCTGCTCCCGATCTGAGTCATCTTCCCTTTAAGCCATAGTTGGACGGAGCTTCAGAGCCTCAGAGCCATTCATAGTGCACCTCTCCCACAAACACACGCCTGCCCGAAGAGCGGCCGACCTGGGAACTCGAAACAGCAATTAGGCAAAATCCGAAATTACAGAGTTCTCACTCCACAGAGAAAGGCGAATGATAATTTTGCCTCCTCCAAAGGCCCACAGCCTGATTTTGCCCTCCATCTGCAAAATCTGTCCTTCCATCCTCCAAAGAACTTCCCCAACGAGGCCTTTCTGTGCAGGCCAGAAAGGGGGCTCACAGGTCCTGAGCTCAGTCTGTGTAATCTTCCTGCTGAAATCCTGGAGAGAGGGAGGGAAGGGAGAGAGAGAAAGAAGAAGAGAAGGAGAGAGAAAGAAGAAGAGAGGGAGAGGGAAAGGGAGAGGGAAGGAGGGGGAAAGAGGCAGAGGTTAGAAGAGAGATAGGGATCAAGGAAGGGAGGGAAGGAGAAAGAAAGAGAGCTTCTTTTACATTGTCTTTACCCACCCCAAATATTAGTTGGACACTAACTATGTCCTAAGCACTGTTGCAGATAAAGCAAAGTATAAGATGTATAACTCCTTGGCTGAGTGCAATGGCTCACGCCTGTAATCCCAACATTTTGGGAGGCCAAGGTAGGAGGATTTCTTGAGGCCAGGATTTCGAGACCAGCCTGGGTAACGTAGTGAGACCCCTCCCCATTCTCTACAAATATATATGTATATATTAGCCAGGTGTGATAGCTACCTGGGAGGCTGAGGCAGGAGGACTGCTTAAGCCCAGGAGTTCAAGGCTGCAGTGAGCTGTGATCGCACCATTGCACTCCAGCCTGGGTGACAGAGTGAGACCCTGTCTCTAAAATAAACAGATAAGATGTAACCTTTCGGCTCAAGTCATTTCCAATCTAGTCAGGAGCAAAAAGAACCAAACACAACAATTTACTCAAGCACCTAATTTGATGCCACAGGTAACTATGGCTGTGCAAATGCAGGGAAGAGAGAGACAGCTGAGAGCTGGAGGAGGAGATGCTTCGTGGAGGAGCTGGAAGCTGAGGCAGTGCCCGACAGAGAAGTCAAATCTGAACCAGAGGAGTCGGGTGAGAAGAACCGGTCCAGGAGAGGGAAGACAAGCTAAGTCCCGGGGTGAGCCCCTATGGGAGAAGCCTCCACACTTCTCTGATGAACCCTGTGGCTCCCTTAACACCACCACGATTCCCTTTGTGCCTCCTTGTGCTTGGTTGCCCTGGGGTCCCAGAGTTCCTGGAGGGCAGGGGCTGTGTTTCCTACTTTGCACACCCAACCCATAGTACAGTGCCTGGGACACATGGCCACGAATATAAATTGTGGATTGAACAGATGAGTGAGCAAGAATAATATGAACCACAAAGTAGGTGCCTGGTTGGAAATCAACCAGCCCATCCTTGAGGAGCTTTAATTCACTATCATCTCTTGTGTTCTTAAGAACTATCCAATGGGCTCTCAGTATAGGTTGGTAATGAAGCAGAGCCCAGGAGATGTCAACTTGGGGGCCATCCCTGCTCTGTACCTCTGGTGATGCTGTGAGATTCTCTGCCTCCCTTGAGGTTGTTGAGCTCTCACCTCTCCCAGCCCTGTTGCAGTTGTCCCTAAAGATTTTGCTCCAGAACCAGCGAGCTCTCCGCCTGGCCAGATACGGGGTTGCTTCCCCTCCTCTGATCCCTTCAGTATCATAACTGCAGCCACTGAGCCCTGCAGGTGACCCCGTAGGCTGGCTGCCCCTTGTTGCCCCGGTGAAAGTCTTGGCTGAGCCTCCCCTTCTCCTTGGGTCTCCACCCTGGGACAGACCACTGAGGGCCTGCTCAGTTCCAGGTCCTGACCTTGACCGCATTTCTAATTTGCCGGATCACAGGGATTTCCTGGCTCTGGGGCGGGCTGGACCGGACGCTTTGGCTGTCTCGGCACCAGGTCTGACACAAGAGGTTCCTTGGGAGGCGGATCTGAGCTGGGACTGAAGCAGCAGGAACCCTGGGTAACAGGAGGCTGGAGGGTGAGGTGCAGAGGTAGGGAGAAAAGGCCATGGGCTATCAGGAGCTGATCGGAATTTGTGGTATGCAGGGCCTGCTGGGGGAAGCGGGGAAGGGGTCAACCTTGGGAGGGCCTTGAGCAGGGCATGGCATTAAGAAGTTACCCTCTGGGTAGAAGAGGGCCATTAATGAGTTTTAAGCAGAGGGGACAAATGGCTAGATGTGTGTTTTAAAAAGATAACCCTTAGCTTTGATATTTTTAGCTATAAAGGGTTGCCTAGGTTAATGAATCACTTTTTACAGGTCCTATCTCATACGTACTCATCCATCAATACCCATCTCTCATTCATTATCCAGACACCCAGGGCACTCAGATTTATGAGGATGTGGGAGATAGTCAAATGTACAATGGGGTTGGGGAGGCAGAAATCTAAACAGGCAGCCCATGAGGTTCCTTGGACCTGAGCTATTCTCTCTCTCCATTCCCAGGGTAAAGTCTGTTTTGCCACAAGTCATTTGGATTTTTTAAATCTCTATTTCATAACACACCAGAACTAAGTTGCTGTTTACTCATTCCAACAGGACATGGTGTGTATAAATCATCCGATTAAGTTATTACTGGGTAAATCAAGAGCATCTGTGTGGGTGAGCGAGGCTGAGATCCCGACTCAGTGATATGCAGCAGTGCCTAATAATATCTCCACTTGTGCATCTTCACAGAGCCAAGAGGCTGTCCACCAACTGTTTCCTCACTTTAGCCCTGTGACCACCAAGGCATAGGCTCTAGGGACAGACTGCCTGGATTGGACTCCAGCCTGGCCGTTTACATGTTATGCAACCTTGGGTAAAATATTTAACCTCTCTGTGCCTCAGAAGCCTCATTTATAAGATAGGCATTGTAACAGAATCTGCATCATAAGGGTGTTATAAGGACTGAAGGAATCAATACATGCAAAGTGCTTAGAACAATGCCTGGCTCACGGGGAGCACACAATAGATGTTATCTATTCTTCTTCTTATCCCCCTAGCTACCAAAACAGGGCTAGAATTGGACTTAAATGTGTCACTTTCCCATAGACTCACCATTGAATCTTGGCCCTTCCACGTCCAAGGAACAGGCCCTTGCTTGTGTTCCATCATCAGTGAAGGTCCCATTTGTACATCTTTCCAGCTTGATTCTAGAATGCCTGTAGGCCTGCTCAGTTCCTTAGACTTTGCTTATCCCTATCTAGTTAGTAATTAACATATTTGCTGGGATTTAGAATTGGCTGCCTAACAGTGAATGACTCTAAATAATTGTGTGATGTGAATTACACAGGGGCATTTGTATGCCCAGTTTCCAGAATATTCTAGGCACTCAGCAATACTTGGTGGATGAATACGTAATGTTAAGGGCAACAACAGAAAGTACTATCTGGGGTGGGGTGTGGTGGCTCATGCCTGTAATCCCAGTACTTTGGGAGGACAAGGCAGGAGGATTGCTTGAGCCCAGGAATTCAAGACTAGCCTGGGCAACATAGTGAGGCTCATCTCTATTTAAAACAAAAAAGAAAGAAAGTAAGTACAATCTGGGCTACTGTAGGGTTATTATTCCATCATGCATATTACACATTAAGAGTGAGCCTTGTACTATGAGTAGTTGTAAAATGATCTCATTTAATTTACTAAGTGCCAATCTTAAATCATACTGTAAAGCCGAACACAGTCCTAAAATCATACCAATTAACTCTGGTCAACTGATCAGACACTCTGCTACTTGTTAAACTTCAAAATGTAGTGTTTACTGATTCAGATTAACCATGATTTAAAAAAAAAAAAAAACTAACTAAATCTACAGACTTACAAAATTGGCAAATTAGAGGTTATATGACCTACAAAAGCATGTTTCAACTTTAAAGAAAAAGACCCTTAGGAAGTATCTGTAAATTTCAAGCTCCCTACAGATGTTAAAAATACTATTCAATATACTAAAATACATGTTTCATGAATACACCTATTTTACAAACATTAATAAATCAAGCTATAAGATATTGCCATTTAAGTCCAAGAACAAATGTAGGTGTTAATACTGAGTATATAGAACATGTAAAAGACAAAAATAAATAAATGTATTTGAGATAAAAAGATGGGATTTTAAAAAGAAGATAGAATAAAGAAGCATGTCAAAGGAGAACTCAAGCTCAAAGTAATCAAGGCTTGTGGTTTATCCTAAAGGCAACAAAAAGAGTTTATTATTTTTATCCCTAGCTTAGAAGGACTAAGACATGCTAGACCCTGTGGGGGTAGACAGCACAATCGTAGCAGGTAGCAAAGAGAAAGCAGCTTCTTAACTCCGGCTGTCAGGGAACAGGTCCAGTGGCCACTCTGGAAGGACCTCAGCCACACTGGGTGAAGCTGATGCCACAGGATTTGGACTTAAAACCAGCTGCCACTGCTCATGATTGCACCAGCTGATTGTCCTGACCTCCATTTTTGGGGTTTTTTTCTGGACCTTCACTGGTCAATGACTCAACCTATGATTCAACCTTTGTCTTTCATTCTTCAACCTGACGTTTGGGCCACAAGACCCAGAATCTTGTGTCCCTGAAGTCTCCTGGTCAACATGGACCTTTATTAGTCATTAACTCGGTGACTCAGTTCTTGATTCTTTCCCCTTATTTCCTGCTTTGATAGAGCTAATAGATGGGAAGAACACAGACATATACACTATGCCTATAGCATATCACAGTTACAGCAGAACACTTGATAAAGCCTCTCATTTAAATCCCAATGGAACAGACTGGAAATTTGCATGCTGCATGGTAACATAATTAGATACTGTTTCCCGAGTGCGTTTTATGGGACTCCATAAGAAGATATCCTCACATACAGACACACATAAACAAAGTAGTCCACATTCTTAACAAGTCCCTGGGAGCAAAAATAATAAAGACCCTGAGAGCTTTCTTTCTGGGTTTTTTTTTTTTTTTTTTTTTTTTTTTGAGACAGAATCTCGCTCTGTTGCCAGGCTGGAATGCAGTGGTGCGATCTTGGCTCACTGCAACCTCCACCTCTCAGGTTCAGGTGATTCTCCTGCCTCAGCCTCCTGAGTAGCTGGGATTACAGGTGCCCGCCACCACACCCAGCTAATTTTTGTAGTTTTAGTAGAGATGGGGTTTCACCATGTTGGCCATGATGATCTCGATCTCTTGACCTTGTGATCTGCCCACCTTGGCCTCCCAAAGTGCTGACGTTACAGGCATGAGCCACCACACCCAGTCGAGAGCTTTTTTTTTTTTTTTTTTTTTTTTTTTTGAGACGGAGTCTCACTCTGTCCCCCTTGCTGGAGTGCAGTGGCCGGATCTCAGCTCACTGCAAGCTCCGCCTCCCGGGTTCAGGCCATTCTCCTGCCTCAGCCTCCCGAGTAGCTGGGACTACAGGCGCCCACCACCTCGCCCGGCTAGTTTTTTTTGTATTTTTTAGTAGAGACGGGGTTTCACTGTGTTAGCCAGGATGGTCTCGATCTCCTGACCTCGTGATCCACCCGTCTCGGCCTCCCAAAGTGCTGGGATTACAGGTTGAGCCACCGCGCCCGGCCGAGAGCTTTTTTTAAAGTAAGTCTTATCAATATTTATAGGAGCAGTTCCTCTGTCAGACACATTCTGAGATAGCCTGAATTTGGGCTGATTCACAGATGGTTTAATAACTATACTCAGAGACTACTGCTCAGTGTCCATTTGTAGAGACACTGCTAGTTCTGTCTAGATCAAAAGGCTTTGCACTTGCCCTAATCAGCTCAATTTTTTTTTCCCATCAATGACTTTGAATTAGGCATAGAATCTATGTCTCTTAATTGGCTGTAGGAAGACAGTTAGTATAATGAAAGGCAGGGTCAAAATCAAAATAATCTGAATAAAGACTACTCATTGTGCCTTTCTTATTTGACTCGTATACCATCCTGCATTTGTGTTTTAAAAATTAATTGCACAAAAATATAACAGGAGAGAGTTGATTTGGCGATGGTTCATGAATGGCCTTCAAGCACAGCCCAAGCCAATGAAGTGATGCTAGTGCAATTCGAAGCCACATGCCTAGAAGCTTATTGTCCAGACCACGTCTGGAGTATATATCAAATCCCGGCTACTGCATTTTAAAACAGCCATTATGTGCAGAAGGGGTTGGACAGAGTGAAAGCCACCATCATAGGAAAACTGTCTGAAGGCATTAAATACGCTTGAGCTAGAATAAGAGAAAAGGCTAGGAAGACTGTGTGTTGATTTATCTTCAATATGCAAAAGACAATCATGTGGACACTGAGCAAGACTTGATCTATGTGCTCAAAGTCTAGATGGCAGGCCAAAGGGTATAAGTCAAGTTTCCCTTCAATATAATGACTTTTTCCTACATCATATGGTCCAATAATGGAGATAGGTTGTCCTCATAAGTAGTATATGCTCCCCATCATGGATGATGTTCAAACAGATGCTGAATGCCCAAGTGCTGGGGCTGTGGAAGAAGGGATGACATCAAGGATTCTCCCTGGTTGTTTAACTATTTTAACTGCTGTGTAGCCACCTCATTTGGGAGGATGGTCACGGATTACCCAGCCTGTCCTCTCAACCTTCTGCAGAATCTTTTCCTATGCCTAATTCTCTGTAACATTTCTGCTTTTAGTCCTCAGAACTATCTGAAAGTGAGGGAGCAACAGGAGCTGCAGCTGTGGAGGCCTCTGAGCTGCTCCAGCGCCTGCTCCTGGGCCCCTCCTAGGGACTGTGTCCAACTCATGCTTTAACATTGCAAAATACCTTGATAGCTTTCCAACAAATTCCTCTCTATGTTCAAACTGACCTGACTCAGTTCTTACTACTGACAAACTAAAGAACTGTAACTGCAACCCCAGTCTCGTGCCTTTTAAATATCATCTCACCAGAAGATAGTTCAAGTTCATTTAAGCAGGGATTTGGGTCATCATTTTATAATATTCTTATTTCCCGTCCTTACACCCTGAGTGCCGAAGTCCA